TATATATATATATATATATATATTATCTTTTTTACTGGAAAAAACATTTTTTAAAATTTTTATTGAATCATAATTAATTATACTTTTTGGGGGGTTCAACATTGACATATGTTGATCAAATCAATATTACTAGCATATATATTGTTACAAATCATACTTATTCTTTATGCTCCTTGTCCAATCTCTCCCTGCCCCCACTCTTCTCTCCCCCTCTAATTACCCTAGATTTCTTCTCTCCTTCTGAAAGAGTAATGGTCACTCTGTTGATTTGTTGCCTAGATGATCTGCCCAATGCTGAGAGGTGTGTTCAGGCCCTCCAATATTATCATAGAGCAGATGCTTTTTCTGTCAGTTTAGAATGGGCTTTGTGGAGAGAGACATCCTCTTCTTTGGTCTCTGCTGGTAACTCTCCTTGTGTCAATGCACTCCAGTGGCTGGTGGACCATGTGCGTGGTGGTTGTTACATCTAGCCACTTTCGCAGCAGCCATGGTTATTGTGGCAGCTGTGGTGGGCCACCCACATGGAGGTGATGTTTTTGGCATGCTCCTTACTTAGTTGTTGGTGATGGCAGTGTGCCTGGTTGTGGGAGGGGGTCTGGTCCCCGACTCCAGCTTCAGGATGTTAGCAAGATTTTAAAGACACTTCAAAAAAATTATCCAGAAACATCAAAATCCAGAAGTCCAAAATTTAATCTATTAGTATTATTCACTCAGAAAAAACTGTTCTAATTTTTCTTTGTGTGTGTGTGTGTGTGTGTGTGTGTGTGTGTGTGTGTGTGTGTGTATAAACAAGGGATATGGGGAAGGCTTGCTTTTTAAAAAATCTTTTTGTGATAAAAGTTTCATGGCTTTGGGGTTGGTGGCTTAAATTTAATCAACTTGTAGGTTCTAATCATTTTTGGTAGGCTTTTTTCCCCTTCATTTAATTATTGTCTACTTTCTTATATTAGGTTAAACATTTTCTTGGAACAATTGGTGATTTTTAGGCCAAAGAAAATAGCACCAGAATTGTGGGACCCATTTAATCTTCTTTTTCTTTTTAATGAAACTAAATATTTAATTTCCTTTTATTTCTTCCTCACACCTCCAACTCTCCCATCTTCCACGTATGAGTCTATACAATTTAGCCTCAGAAGTTCCAAATGTCATATTTTTCGGCAGCTCGGATGCTTGTGACCCCTTTTCTGCAGCTCTCAGCTGCTGTTTCAGAGGTGATCTCAACAATCATCCTTTTGCCTTTTGTTTTTTTTTGTCCATTCAGTTCCCAGTATATTTTGTTGCCCTTCTTCTTTAGAAAATTATTAGTTCTGTTTCATTCAGACATAACTGCACCCAGTGGCTGAGGATGTTTTGCATAACACTGCTCTCATGCACTTCATTTTCTTGTATCCAAAACTTCATGTGGTTAATTTTCAAGCTCCCAGGTCAGTCTGGAAAAGATGGCTGTTCTTGTTGCTACATAGACCGTGTGTGAGAACAGGAATGCAGCCCAGGCTGTGGCAGAGATACTCACCCTTCCCCGAGCACAAGGTGCTGTCTGCTGACTCACACAGACTCCGGCTTTGCTCTTCTGTCATGTTACACTTCCGTGGATGTTGGCAGAGCTTTCCAAACCATCCTGTCTCACAAACACAACGACCGCAGGAACACGTACCATGGCCTGTGAAGCAACCGTAGGGTGGGGGTTAAAGCAGGAGACGGGTAAATAAAGCTGAATCAGAGTTCTTAAGAAAGAAATATATAAACCACAGGATGCAATTTCCTATCAAACAAACACACTTTCCCTCTATGCATAATCAATTTGGCATGCAATTGTTTAAATGAACTTCACAATAAAGTTCTAGCTTAAAATAATAAATTTGAATGTAACATAGGAGATGGACTTGAAAGAAACCTAGAAATCATTTTATATGGAATTGCACCAGCCTTTCTCAATACAAAATACTCCTTCATTTGCATTTTTATCATTATGGAGTTTAGCGCTATTCTTCACTGTGCACACCATGACAGCTGGGTCAATTTGCAGGGCTAGTCACTTTACCACTGCTCACAGCATGTACTGATTGTCCTCCTGTTGCTTACTAATACAAACAAAAGGCTAAGTTCCATGTGAATGGCATTTGGTATTATATTACTTACCTGTATACCCCTCCGTTTACCAAAAAGAACAGATAAAAGTGTAAGTAACGGTGCCTCTCTATCATTGCATAGAAGTTAAAAACAGCAGGAGACTTTTATTCACATTTGGCACTTTTTTTTTACCGACATTGGTTCCTGGTTTTTGAGATGCTTGCCTTTTGGTAAATAGGCAGCACTGTATTTGTGACAGGTATATCCAGCATATGCACCTGTCTACTTGCTTGCCACCAACACCTCATTAGATTGCATGATCTTCCATTTTAATGTCTTGTTTCCATTTAACCCTTTATTCCTTTTCCTGATACGAACATTGCCTTACAGCCAGATCTCTCTGAATCAGCTATTCACCAGGCAAAGTTTTACTGAGTATCTATTATGAACAGAGCATTTTGCTAGGCACTAGGGTATACGAAATCAAGACTGATGGACACACTGGTCCCTGCTCTTCTCCCAGGGACCCATATCATCATCATTCAGGCTGATCAGTCTCTCTGGAGCTGGGGATGCCTTTTCCCTGGACCATTTGCTCTGGTGAGACCTTCAAGAGTAAACCTTGCTGCATTTTTCCCCCTAAGCTCAGCTCTGCACCAGCAGGGGTTAGTGGCCAATGCTTAATTTTTTGTAATTCGTTGTCATGATTAATTTAAGATAACCACTCAGGAATCCAGGTAATGGTTTTCCATAACACGTGATTGTCTGGAAGTTAATGGAAAGCAAATGGGAGGCAAATTCAAAAGAGAGCTTATTAACAGATCTATTTCCAACAGCCTCTTCTTGTCCATATGGCGATGTATTAAATATAATCTCACCACAGCCCATCGAGTCTGGTATTATCCCCACTTTACAGTAAGGAAACTAAGCCTCAGAGAGATTAAGTAATTTTGCTTTGAATCTCATGGTTCAACCACACAGGCTCAGAACCTGGCTCCAGTCACTATGATCTCAGCACCCACACCATTGTGTTCTATTGCCTCTGTATTCCATTTTAGAAAATGAGACACCTTAATTCCTATCTTCTTCAACCGCTGCATCCTTTGTAAGTGTCCATTTGACATTCATGGGCACTTTCTCTCTGTTGGTTTTCATGATACTGAATTCTCCTTGACCCTTCGCCACTCCTCTTCTGTCTCTACTCCTCTACCATTTCTTCTGACTCGTAAATGTAGTTATCTCCCCAGTGTCTATTCGTCTCCTTTTTTCTCTCTATAATCTCTCTATTAAAAAATCTCTCTGTTTATCAAATCACAGGATTTCAGACAACCACAATGATCACGGGGCTGTATCTCCAGCCCCTAAATCTCTCCCAAGCTCCACCCCATGATTCAAGAATGTGTTTTACTAGCATCCCCAACTAATACTTCCAGACCTACATAAAAGGGTCTTCAAGAAATTCCACAGAAAGATTTGTACTAACTTTTAATTACATCTTTCCACAACTTTTTGAAGTACTCTCATATATAATTTTCTTTCCAAAATCTACTCTTCTGTATTGCCCATTTCTTTTAATGGTAAAACTGTCCATGCAGTCAAGCAGTTCAAAATGTTTTAAATGACACCAGAATCTGTCTTACTCCCCTCATCCAAAGGATGTCAAGTGCTGTTGAAACTACCTCAACATTTCCTCTTATATCACCATTGTAAACTTTGGAGACATCTTCCTATAACGTCTCTGTCCAATATTCTTGCTCAAAGATTCCTAAAGCACAACTGTACTCATATCACAGCCTCATCTCTAGTCCCCTATGACTCATCAATGCTGATGGCATGAAGTTCACCTGCTTTAGCCTTTGTTACATTTTAGGTCTCTGAACATAGATAGGGTCTCAGATACTTTTCCAATCTTATTCTCTGACTTCTCCCTGTAACCAAACTGATCCAATCATTGTTTCCTGTACATTTCTCACGTTTTTCCAACCTCAGGCCTTTGCTGAGGCAGGAATGCCTTTCCCCTCCTCTGCAAATTCAGGTAGGTACTGCTTGTTTGCCAAAGCTGGGCAAAAGTGACCACACCTCTATGAAGATCCCCAAAGATCCCTAAATGGAACTCATCACCTCTCCTCTGAGCTTCTGCGCTACTTTATTTCCCCCCTCCTGTGGAACTTTTTTGTCTTTCACCTTGTGATATGTAGATATTTGTGAAATGAATCCAGTACTTGACTGTGAATTCCTTGCCAGCAGGAATTACTTCTCATTCAGCTATGTAGTCTTCAGAGTGCCAAGCACACCACCTTGGATGGAGTGGATCCTCAAAAACACGTGTAGTAGATTGAGGCTATCTTTATCAAAATATCCTTCGCATTTTGTTCCTTCACAAATCCAAACTGAGAGCTCTAAATTGGTTCCAGGACATGTGTACAGGTTATTTGGTTAACGGACTGTTGTTCAAGGGCAATGAACAGTTTTTGAATTGCTGTTTTATTCTGCATTCTATAGAGTAGAACCAAGTTAGAGAATGGGCTCCCCCTTAAGAGCTTTCTACTCAATAAATAGTAATTAAATTGAATATATCTTGACTTCTCCATTAAAACCAAAGTTTACTTACAAGTGTAGTTTTCCTTTAAAAGTTAAGTAAAAAGCTGTCCATCTTTAGAGGCAGACAATCTGGGGTACAAAGAAATGTAAGAAAGAGAAAGAGAATGTCTAGTGCCAGGCCCATTCAGCTCTAAACTTCTCAAATGCTCATGTTTCTTACTGGACCTGAGTTAGTAAGAATCATCATCAATTTGATGCAATTGGAATTATTTAATCTCTACTGCAGAGGAAGATATTCTGCCTTTGATTTAGGATATCATTTATAATAACTCAATGGCTCCACACAGCAAGAATGTATATACAAGGAAATAGGAGATTGTTTTACATTTATTAGCTCATTTATCACATCTTTCCACAAAGTGAAGTTGACATCTAGCACAGAAAATGGTCAAACTGCACTGGTATTTAAATGTTTTAATTTGACATTTGTATGACTTTCCTTTACTTAATTTTTTTAAATGCAACTTCCAATAATATCTTCCTTACAAGCTCTAATAAATTAGTTATCCATTCAAAAAATGTTTGGTGTACACAAGGCATTGTATTAGCAGTTTAGGATATAATAGTGAATAAAATCGGCATTAGCCCTTGGTACTTACAATCTCATGGGGAGAAAACAAGTGACAATAAGCAAACAATACACTTGTTTTAGAGGAGACTAAAAAAGGAAGCTGGTACATTTGACAGTGAGAACACTGTTAACTAGGGTAGTCAAGGAAAAGCTCAGTTTCACCCATGGGAGGAGAGGTAGGCAGCCAATGTTCTAGAAAAACTAATGAGAAGTCCTTGGGACAAGAAAGAGTTTGGCATATTACAGGCAATAAAAAGCTAATGTGCCTGAAGAACAATAAGTAAAAAATTGGAATCAATAATAAAGTTGGAGACATATTCAGGAATGAGAACATAGCAAACTGTTTATTCTTGGTAAGTAATTTAAATTTATTCTAAGAGGAATGGGAAATGACAGAAGAGTATTGAGCAATAGAGTAATGTGATTTAACTTAAAATTTGCAAATCCATTTTGGCAACTGGGTGGGATAGATCAGGTGTGTTTGGAGGAAGTGAGTACGAGGAGATGAGAGAGCTACTGCAGTTGTCCAAGTAAAGGAGGGCGGTGGCAGTGGGAATCCAGAGAAGTGGATAAAGATCTCTGTTGGTGGTGGAGTCTATGCCTATAGGACATACTAACGGATTGGATGTGGAAGGTAAGAGAAAGAACTTGTTTTCTGGCTAAAAAAAATAATGTGAATAATGATGCCATTTATTAGATATGGAAGCCTCAGAAGAAAGAGGTGAGGACAGAAAATCAGCTCTGTTTTGAACCTTATGCATTGGAAATACTCTTAAGACAACCAAATAGCAAGGTCAAGTAAGGAACTGGACACAGCCTCATGCTCAGAGGACAGGTTAGGACTGGGCTCTAGGCATACACATGTTGGAATTTACCAAAGTGGATGGCATTTAAGGCTTTAGAAATGAATGAGTCTACCCAGTGTGAAAATAAGACTTTGGAAATGTCAATGTTTAGGGTTATGGTAGAAGAAGAGAAACCAGACAAGTAGGAAAATCCAGCAAGCAAGGAGGAAAATAAGAAAATTGTGCTGTCTCATGAGATAACAAAGGAAAGTGTCCCATAAAGGAGACCTATTGTGAGTGAAAATGTTCCTGAAAACTTAAGTTAAAAAATAAAACTATCAAAGCAGTGTCAGTTGGCTTTTATCTGACCCATGCTCCTGTGTTGCCACTTAGGTCTATGAGTGGGACACCCAGGGTGAAAGACTGTGGGAGAATCTTCTACATATGCCATTCACTGAGAACAATGTCTCTGCTTAGAGGTAGATTGGCAGTGATAAATCATCTTCATATAGTAAGTGTGCAGTAGATCTTTATAGAATTAACCTGTAGATAGAACAAGCCTAATGAACCATTTGAGGTGCACTAAATCTGCTTTCACCTGACTTCTCATATCTTCATACAGGTGACTAACCA